ATTGAAACGATTGGTATAACAGACTTATAGTAGGGTATGCAAGATTAGGAGAGACGGCAAACAGTAGCGAAGGAGCCAGTGGTGTACTCCGTCCCTCTGAAGAGAGTAATCAGTCCCTTGGGAGTGAGCAGAGGCCCGACGCGTTGTTGATTGCAGTAAGGTGAGTTTTCGGAAGAAAAGGCAGGATCTAGGTGCAGATTGTGGAGTTAGACTGCACGGGAGCTCCATTTAAAGGGCACCTCATTTACAATAATTCCATATCGTGCAAAATATTAGCTGGCCTGCTAGATATTCCTCGATTATTTTTCAAAATAACAATTTGGACTCTGTTTTCAGAATTTTCCTAGACCTTCCAGGTATCTTGGATGCGCTTTTACACGCGATGGAACCTGCATCAGCTTAGTCGATTCTCTGAGTGTTGTTCCTGATGGTCTCCCACATTGTTTTCAATCCGATTTCAAGCTGGGCAAGAAGCTACGCATTACTGAAATTTTCCGCATGCTTTGGCATGCCTTTTGTCAAAGTTTTCTGGCTCACTGATAGATCAAGTTGGAAGCCAGCACAAAAGTACACCTTCCCAAAAAACGTTAAAAAGCAGTCGATCAAATTTGTGTTTCTTTAGGAATATTCAAACTCAAGATAGAAAGTAGTCTTCCTGAGCCATGCCTGACGTATGGCCTGACTCGCTGAATCCAGAGGATTTATATGCAACCAGGAGTCAGTCACAAGGCCAAATGTCCTCAAGGCACATTGGCTCGGAGTTACTATGGGAAATGCTTCTTGCCCGAGGTCAAGTTTTCATTAAACGTTTCTATTACACCCATGTGGTCGTTGATGGAGATGAAACCTGCTTCCACAGAATGGACTACCAACTTCAGACCTCCCGCATTCTCGAGCCTACAAGGCATCGAGGCAGGGACGCTTTCCATTGGTTGATCATTGGACGCAAATCAGCATTCATTGAGTCAAAACTATGGGATTTTGGATCGAATGATTGCAAAGGGATTTAGTTCAGGCCGGCGGCACTTGTTCGCGATATATTGCTGATGGCTGCTTGTTTAAGTGAAGAAAATTTCAAGGTCATTGAAGATCGCCGATTCATGATTTAGTAACGCTCAACCACCTTGCTAATCACACCTATTTTTTCTGCAAATCCGAAGAATCTAGTAAACCGAGCGTATGTTCTAATAAAAAAGCACGCTCAGCACCAGCTGTCCAGTGCGGTTT